GAAGTTTGTTATAAATGGAGCTTAAAATTTTTTTCCAATCATAATAAATAATTCCAGAGTCTAAGCCTTGTACAATTGCCTTGTTCTGAGATCGTGTTGTTGAATTTTCTATCACATGAACAATATCGCTAGTACACATAACATTTGATTTGCGATATAAAAGTTTAATATTTCCAAAAAATCCATCAACAATAAATTTTGTATGTCCGGCAATCATAAAATGTAAATGAACTTCTGAATAAATTCCTGTTGCAACAAGCCATGCACAAAACCAAATCATCGTATTATTTTTATTTTGACCTCCACAATTATCACAAACTAAATTAAGTTTTTTTTCACCTTTATTATATTTAAGAATACCCGCCCAAACTGCACTTATAGTAGTATTTGCACCTTTTCCTGCTTTTCCATCATTTGGCATAAATCGTTCAGGAAAAATAAAATTGGTTTGCTCATGAATTCCTGTATTACAAAAACCAAATAAATGAAATTTATAAGGTGAAAGAAAATATATTTGTCCAATTTGTTGATCAGAGTATGGTACATGAATAGATTGAGCCCAATCAAATGCATAATGTGCAGTTAAATTAAGATAATTAAATCGTTCATATTTAATAGGAAGTAATTTAGCATCTTGAATCGCATCTTTAATACAATTATTATAGTACTCTCGCTCTCCACGAGCTAAATTAATATGAGCAAGATATTCATTAATTTTAACACCCGTATCACCATAATTATGTGAAATTTCAAATTTAAGGCGCTGACAAACTTCACAAAGATCTGATCGAGGTGACATGATTTGAACTTCTGGTGCATAAATATTCCATAAACGGCAAAATGTAGATTCACTCATTTTTGCTTCATCAAAATTTGTAATAGAATTTATATATAAATTATAAAGTTTTTTTTTTGTATCAACTGTGGGAAGATAAATAGTTTGATGTGTATCTCGACATAAATGGCGGCCAGGTGATGGTAAGCCATGTACTTCTGCATAGTTATTAATAAAATCACGGACTAGTTTAACAATATTATTACGAATAACTACCATAGAGTGTCGAGTTGGTGTACGTCCTTCATTTCCATGATGTCGTATACTAAGCCCATTATCTTTAAGATGTCTTTTAATATTTTTAATACGAGTTTCAGAAATACCATGCATATGTTCATAAACTTTTTTACAAAGTAAAATGTTATTATTATATCGCCAAAAAGTTCTCATATTTTGGCGGTTACGCTTTTTATTTGTTGTCATAAAACCACCATCAAATGCAAGTATTTGTGCCATAAGATAAATATCCTGCATATTTTTAGATAAAGATTGAAAATAAGCACGGCGCATTAAAAATTCATCTAGTGGAATCATCATAAAACATTTTTTGTCTGGTCCGCAATTACATGATGTACTTTTGTACAGCCTTTCAACACTTGGACGTTCATTTTCTATAATATTGAGAAGTTTTATATTCTCATCAGTTATATCAATATCTTTGCCATCAGCAAGTAAATCTACTATTTTAGGTTCATCATCATCGGATTCGCAGTTATTTAAATCATCATATTCTAGTTCATTTTCTAGTTCGTTGTCAATTTCAGTTTCTATAGATCTAAACCATAAATCGTCTACTTCAGAAAATTCTGAATTCAAGAAGAGATCAGATTGAATTAAAGATGCCATTTGTTTTAAGATTATGTATTGTAAGTATTTAAGGTTGATTTAGATATTGTCAATTATTGTTATCATTCAAAAAATATATTTTGCAATATCGATTGACGTCATTCTATGTTCCCCTATGTTACAATTAGACATGTTCTGATTTTTTATCATTTTGTGTAACATATTAATAATCTCACTATGGGACGTTTT